GAACGCAGCCATTGAAGCAACCAATCAGCGCTATTCCGAATAGCGCTGAATAGCGTTGATTGGTTGCTTCAATGACGCATTCTCTATTCCGCACCGTGTGATTTCACCCTTACAAAACAAACGTTCTGCTGAACGCAGCCATTGAAAAAAATTAGTCACGCGATCCCCATCCTGATTGGACGTGGGCATCACGTGATACAATTTGCCACTCTCCCTTTGTGTTGCCTCTACTGTCGACTTGCCAAGTGACAGACTGATAGCTGATGACAGGACTTGAGGAGAACCAATATCTTAGGAAGAGCATAAAGCGAGACGGAAAAGAAAAAAAGAGATACGCGATCCGCGCAATTCGCGGCTATTCAGATAAGAGATAAATATGCGCTTTCGAATGTCAGCGAGGAACAATAAACAGACGCGATAGACCACGATAACGGACGCAGAAATACGGAGGGATACTCGTCAGGTGGAAAAACAGAAGCAGACACCTGTTGCTGCCGGCCTCATTAGACGATTGCTATGGCTCATCTACTCAAAAACCTTACCAATAGTATCTGGCATGCATTTCACGCTCTACAGGCCGATGCCACCAACACAGTCGCCAAATCCAAGTTAAAGGTGAAACTTTGAATGATATCATAAAATCACCAAGAAAATCCATTTGGATAGTTCAATAAAATCATGCAATCTTCTATTATCTCTTTTGTTTTCTTTTCTCTTTGACACTTGTTCATTTCAGTATTTGATTTTGATAGGTATTAACAGCTAATATTGGTACCTTGATGGATTTGTACGGCGTAGAAAAAGGCCTGGAGCATTACCGGAGTACGCAAAGTTTAACGTTCGATCAATACATCTATTATTTACAGAAAGAAGTAAGATCTTTTTTAAAATGCATTATTATAAACTATTTATGTATATATATCTCAAACAAAATGAGGTAAATGCCAATTCTCTTAATTATTTAAAGAAATAGTAGAATTTTATACAAAGAGATGTATATATACAGGTGAATGTATTTTTGAAACGTTTTGGCTCGTACTTTATTATTAATAAATTCTAGCAAATATTTGATCGAGGCAAAAACTTGTAGGAAATGTGAAAATAGAGCAGAATATTCAGATACACAAAATCTAAGATTTTTAAGATATTATATGCAAAGACTTTTGCTTTATCTTTCTATTTTCAAAATGCATATCTTTGAACCACGGTTTCCTAGTAGTGAATTCAATCACTCGCACTACACTGAATCGGTGTTAAAAGCTGCTTTACATAAAATATCTCAATATAGTGATACAATATAATCAACTTTGACAATGAAATGATACATATATATTTTGTTAAATAATGTGACTATATCATTAGTAGATAGTTAATCGTTTAAAATATTTATATACTTTTACATTTAACTTTGTTAATTTCATGTAAAGCAGCTTTTAGTATGCACTGATCTAGTGTAGTGCGAGTGACCGAATTCGCTATAAGATTTATTTCAAGTATCTTTTTTTTCTATCTTCACTCATTCAAGAGCATTTACTTTGCTTTTGCTCATCCAGCTTGATGCGGTCTGTACAATAATTTCAGGTGTTCTCTTCTGTAACTGATGCTACCTCTGTACCAACATTGAAGACAATGGAAGAAGGGATAGATGAAATTTGCTGGCTGGTTTGTAAAAAGATCTATCTCGAGAGATCCCATTCAGTTTTTGACGATCATAGTGTTTATCAATTGTTCAGAATTTACTGCCTGCTGGCCGAGACAGATTCAGATGCAACAGATTCTTATCTGGTTAGCGGTTGCTTGTAATAAATTATATAAACAAATGTCTTTAACAATTTTCGATAACCAATGTATCGCTTTTGGTGATGCAGGTGATAATGCATGGCGACGAGGTAGCGCGAATCGCTTCCCATCTAGTAATGTCCTTGGGTCTACAATGGGACGCGGCAGATTTCTTGGCTCTATCAGCGGCTATTGGGACATTTAGGTAATTTGTTGTTTCTAGCTTATCATACTAATCGCAAAGATAAAGATATAAAAAAATGCAATTTGTTGATGAAAAATTTATCGGGAAGGTTTCCCACATTTCTGGCAGTGTTGGAATCCAAATATAGTGGTGGTAATACTTTGGATATTATGGCGTTATCAGAGGCGATTGATGATCTCTACCAGATTTACATAGAGAACGTGGTGAAAAAGGTAAATCGATGTTTTGCTTAATTTTGTTAATAAATTGAAGAAAATTTGATTCTTAAATTGATAGGTCTTCCTCTAAACGCATGCTATAATAATGCATGAGTACGTTCTGAGTTATGCAAGAAGCGCATGATGCATCATTTATCTCTGTTGTTCACTGAATAATAAAAAAGGATAAAATGATAGATCGTTATCGCTTCATATGTAATTCTAAACGCACTCCATGTTGCATCTTATGTTTACATACACATATTATAGTTGTAAAGCCCATATTAGACTACCGACCGTAATGAACGAATCACAATAACTTACTGATTGTGATTGATTTACTATGAATCGACAATCAGAGTTGGTAGTCGAATCGGCCTGCAAAATCGGTAATCTAATATGGACTTGAGAGGCAACAATAGAACGCGCGTGCATTACAATGAAATAATTTTTTTCTTTTTACAAATATCGTGCAGGGCTATTTAATGAAGAAAGGTTTTCTGCTGCCAACATTGCGATATTTTTGGTTCGTCTTGCGTCCCGGTGAATTGACATATTACAAAGATCCCCAACAAAAAGAGCCATCCGGATTAATACTCCTGAACGTTAATTGTTGGGCCGATACTGTGACAAATGGTGGAAAGCCTGATAGAAGGTTTGTGCTTAGCACTTCCGAACATAGATGCATAGAGCTAATGGCAGAGGATCACAAAGGCAGGCTCCAATGGCTCGCGGCGTTACAAACAGCCATTCAGCATTCGAGCGAGAAGATCGGCTATCAGAGAAGTTTGACCAATCAACGAAGATCCTTGCGACAAGTAAATGCAAATTAATTGAAGAAGAAAAATATGTAAAAGATGCTTTAGTAAAATCGTTTTAGTTAATACTTATTCAAAAACTTGTATTGTTACTTGCTAGGCTGTTAAACAAGAAAAAGAAGAGACCAAGTTGGAACTTCAGCATGAGAGGCAAGCTAGAATCGCCGCCGAAATACAAGCTCGGAAATTGGAAACTCTGTCGAAGGAGGAAGGTGCTAAAGTTCAACAACTGGAAGATGTTAAACAAAAGCTAGAGTTGCTGCTACAAGAAGAAAAACAGGCTCTACGTGATGAGGAAATAGGTAATAGGCTATTATATCTAATTCTTATCGTATTAATTTTTGTAGGATTGTATAATTTAGATAGATATGTCTTATGTATATTGTAGTACGAAGTTTACAAGCGAGAGTACTACGCGAAGAATGGGAAAAGAGAGAGCAATTAGAGAGATTGCAACAGGAGCAGCAGGAAATTTTAGATGGAGAAGATGAAAAGAATGGAATTTGAACAGATGCAGAAGAAAAACGAGCAGCAGTTGCAAGGTACATAACATCTAAATAAAATGAAAAATAAAACATCTGCTTTAAATCTTATTATATTAATTTGATTCTTCAAAAGCTACACAACTACGTACACATGTGTATTTCTTTCTTTAGTTTTCATTTTATATTCTTAATGTTATTATTATTTTTATTTTTCAATTTCTATCTTTGAAAATTTTCACTTTTGCATTATTCTTTTATATTAATTTTTAGATGCTGAATTACGACTTAAGCACCTAGAAGCGGAAAGGGAGCATTTGGACACAGAATTGCGAGCTGCACGCGAAAAGGTGAAACGCACCGAAGAGGCTCAATTTTTATTGGAAGCACAAATCGTGACGCGTCCCTTGAGAGGAAGTGAGAGGATTCGACGTACTCAGAGCTTTATACCGACAACAAAAGAACGACCGTTGTCCATAGAGAAAATTGACAACAGGCCTATGACAATGCAGAAGAATATATGACATCGATAGCTAAAGATCGATACTTTTATCGCCCGAATTGCATTTAAGTCTTCCACCAAATAGAGTGACAAGAAAAGCCTATAGAATCTATTGTATTGTTGCAGAGCAACTATATTATATTTTCATGAAGAATGTGAGAAAATTTCATGCGAACTCGGAATTCGATAGTACCTTACTCTTGATGCCTTGCTTTATTCGCAATCTTAGCCAAAAAGTATTTAGTATTGTATCAACAGATTTTGTATACGCAAATTCCCATTCCTTATTATATTCGAAAATAATGTGATTTTT